TCATAATTAAAATTTTTATGCTTATTAATGTAATTATGATAACAGCTTAAGGAAAAAAAATTATAAAAAGATAACACATTTGAAAAATTAGAAGAACTATAAAATGTATCCATTTTTTTAAGAAAATATAACAATTTCATTTTAACCTCCAAAATAGGGCCTAATCCTATAATTTGTCAACAATCATTAAAAAAGAAAAAGGAAACTAATTACATTTTGAAAATTACCTACTTTTTTTACAGAGGATTGAGAACAAGAGTAAAGAGGTGTGTTTGAGGACAGGATACATAGAAGGATGGGGAACAAACTCAGATGTTGACTAACATTACGCTTGAATATTTGAAGATTATAGTCATCAGGGAAGCAAGTAAGGGGAAAGGGAGTTCCACAGATGGGAAGTGTAGGGAAAAGAAGCTGTTTGAGAAGAAGAGATGGATTTAACCGTCTTGATACTGAAAGGGTGCGACCGAGATGCCAGCTTCTTTAAATTCATGTAGTCTGGAAACCAGCGAAAGCAGCTCATCAGAACAGTTGCCATGAAAATATTTGTAGAAGAGACAGAGGGAGGCCACAGCATGTCTGTGGGATAGTGATTGTAGATAAGATGCCATATCAGGATCTATCATCTTGAATATTCAACTCTGGATTTTGTCAAGGACATCAAGAAGTACAGCAGGAGCACCAGACCATATATGACAGCAATATTCCATGCAAGGAAGGATGGTTGATTTATAGATTTGAAGGATGGACAAGAAAAACTTTCTGGCATGACACAGAGAGCCAGCTTTCCTTGTGGTAGATGAAGCTATTAAATTCAATGTATTTATTCCACATGTCAATGGACAGCGTGAGACTAAGAAGGCATAACGAGGTGTTCTCAAGGAGTTGAGAATCAGTCAATCTGATGGGAGGCAGGAAGGGTTCTTTGTGGTGGGTAAAGTAGAGCAGTTTCGTTTTGGAGGCATTAAAATTACAAGCCATTTCCTGCCCCAGTCAACCACAGATTGGAGGTCCTTTTGAGATAAGCAACCAGGTTAGTTTTGTCAACGATACTAGATTTATTATTGAGGCAGGAGTAAATAGTGGTGTCGTCAGTGTAGATGCCAACTTGGGAACTGATGAGCTTGGGAAGGTCATTGATGAAGACAAGGAACAGTGCAGGGCCCAAGATAGAGCCTTGGGGGACACCAGCGTTCATGATAAAGGAGCCGAAGGAGAACCTGTTTAGGACAACCTTCATTTCACGGTTTGACAAGAATTATTGTATTAAGTCAAATAATCATCCCGTAATGTTGTATCCTTGAAGCTTATGAAGAAGGCCAGCATGCCAAACCCTATCAAACACTTTAGAGATGTCTAGAGCCATGGCTCAAGCTTCTCAATTATTGTTGAGTGTTTGGTATACCAATTCAGTTATAGCTGTGAGCATGTCAACAGTAGATCAGGCAAAGTGGAAACCATATTGCTTGTCAGAGAGCAGATTATGTGAAGTAGGGTGCTTAAGCACTTCGGCATAGATTAAAGCCTCAAAGACTTTAATGAATAGTGGTAGGAGACTGAGAGGATGGTAGTTAAATGGATCAGAAGGGTCACCAGAGTTTTTAAAGATAGGCACAACAGATGAGGACTTCCGACAGGCTGGAAAGCAAGATTTGGTGAGGCAGTAGTTGTTACAAGGAGTGACAAAGAGATGTCTGTTGTAATCAGACATGTCTCTGTGGTATAGTGAGAAGTAGAGATTCCTGTGGGCAATAGCTGCTGCACAAGCAGCTGAGAGCCATGAAGATGAATGCAAATTCACTTTATATTTTCTTGTAGGGATAGAAGCCTTGATTCCAGCTTTTACCCAGGATGAGAACTCAGACACACATTTTTGGATGGGGAGGTTAAAGACAGTATTCCAGGGGGACATCATGAAGGAAATCTTGGAATGAGTCCCAATCTGCTCATTGATAATGGAAAGATGTTCTGTTGGAGTAGAAGTAGATGAAATCAGACACAATTACATGATCAAAGTTGCCAAGAGGGCAGAGCTGCATGACACGACAAGACTTGAGGGTGGAGGTAAAACAGAGATCAAGAAGGGAAGCCTTACCATCATGGTTGCTGGGGAAATGTGTAGGAAAGTCAACCACTTGTGTGAGAGATTGAAAAGTTAAGTAAGTGGTATGGTTTTCAGGCACTTTCCAAAAGGTGCCGTACATTGGGATTGACCCCTCCAATCTGAGAAAGAAGTCTCCTTACTGACAAATCGACCATGGTGAGATTCAAACCTTAGTCTCATGGCCAGAGTGTGAAAGTTCTAACCACTCGGCCATGTGTCCATTATAGTAAGTATAAATATTCATTTACTAATCTCATTTTAATTATTATTAATTTTTTACTAGTATTTTTTAATTTTAGTTGCTTTTTATCACAACTATTCAGTACATCAGTCTACAGCCATTAGTATTTACTAAGCTTAGCTTTGGCACAGTGGAAAGCCGGATAGGAAAATTGTATCATACCAATCTCCCAAGTGAGCAAGGCGTGCCAACCTCAGCTAAATATCATCATTCACACACATGCTTTCAAACTGAACCCAAATACCAAGGATTAACAATGGTAGAAAAAATAATTCAACATTAGCAAAAACCCCATGACAGTGCTAAGTATATAATTTATTTACAAATTTGGCTGTAAGACTTATTTATTCCTACTGAATAGCAGATATTTATTTTTGCCCAATAAAATTATTAATGATTTCAAGGAAATTTGTTTTGAAGAATTATAGGTGGTGTGATATATTTGTTCATACATTAATAGGTATAAACAATTGCATTATTGTATAGATTTCAAATATTCTTCAGCCAACTGAACTCCTCCTTTATATTCTTGATGTTGGGAATATGTTTTGGCTGATCCATTCTCCAACTTTTATTAAGTGTATAATCCATATGGGAAAAAAAAGAAAGAGTTTCTTCAGATACTGGCAAAATTTCATCAGTAACATAACTTCCCTGTGCCTTTCCTATAAATATTTTCACAGTAATTGTTCGGATGAACTTTCCTCTTTGGTAAGTTGACTTTACAAATTTAAGCACAGTACTAGTCAGCTAGGCCTCATCATTGTATTGTTGAAATTGCTAGATGCAACCATAAGTTTTATGATAATAGTTTCCTCTTTTGCACTTCTCAATTGTGAAACTCTTTTCCAGCTTTCTGCTTTCTTGTCAACTACAATCTTCAAAAATTTAAATGCAATGCCAATTGTTATCTTCTCTTTTATTGTTCTCTCTGTTTCTTTCACTCTTTCATTCTCAGTATCACTTTTTATCTTAATGGCTTTTATCACCTTCCTTTGAGTAAAATGATTAAAAAAAAAAAGAAAAGAAAAAAGGAATTCAGTAACACTAGACACACAGACAAAAACCATATTTCTACCCTCATACCCAGGTAATTCAAAATTATAAAGGGGGACATTTCCCAATACATTCTTTGTTAAGAAAAAAAAAAAACACAATTTTTTTATGGTATCAAGTGTTCATAATGCCTCCCAGCCCAGAGAGAAAGATTTTCTCACCAAGTATTGAGGCAATTGGAGACGTCCTGAATTTCAGAACATGTTAACAATATTATATATATATATAAAGGAAACATAAGATAATGGATCTGTCTGATGTGTCAAAACTCATTAAATAACAGTGCAAGCAACAAGACAAACACTGGGGAAGTTTATATAAAATTTTATGTAGCAGCAAATAAGTTAACTGCAAAAAACAACAGGACAAAAGTATTGATCACCTCATATTGATTGACTCTCCCTTTGATGATTGAAAGAAATCTGTTTAATGACAAGCTAAATTTAAAATTGCAAAATTGATACGCATTGGTCCAGCACAAGTAATGAGAAAATTGGATTTCTTTTACTGTCGGAATTTACCAAAATGGTGCTAAACAATGGATAAAAGCCATTTTAGATGAGAATCTTAATGTTTTTAATGATTACTGAGTCTTGAACTACTAGACAGTACAGTTATTTAAACATTTAAGAAAACATAATGCCTCTTACAGATGATCGAATTCAAGTTGAAAGGAAATAAATTTTAACTGCATACACTTTGTAACCAGATGATTTCATATCAAGAATATATTGTCAGTTATTTCATGATAATCATTACTTTTACATTACCATCTGCAAATTGTTTGAACCACTATCTGATTCACTGCCAAATTAAGACCCAAGACAAAGTAATTTAGTGATAGGCAAATTAAAATGCAACCCTGAACAAAAAAATGATGAGCAAAAAGGCTAATTAAGAGGGATAAGTTAAATTAGTACCTGAACAAAGAACAATTAAGGTTACAAAACTGAAAGTGAATTAGGTTTAACTTAGTAGGATAGAGTAAAAATCAACAAAAAGAATGAGGAGTTGAAAATTTCAGATGGCAATCATAACTTAAGCTTTTTTTTCTTTCCCGGTGGAACTTTTCTGTTATTCGGCAAGGTAACACATCTTATGTTAATATTGCACTGTTAAATGGAGAAGAGTTTATGCAATGTGTTTATATTGTTGGTATTATAACAGTGCCAATCACTGGAACTTATGCTGTGTCAGAAATGGCCAAATGCCAGTCACTGGATAAAATCATAGATGCTACCAGACTTTAGTTTGTAAATTTCTGCTTCATGTGCATATTGCATCAAAATGTTTTAAAATATATCTAAAAACATATATATATGCACAAATAAGATAAACAAATATGTATATAAAATGCCTTCTCCAGGGTTTGAAATTACTTATACAGGCATATATTTAGAAAGATATTTACTAAACCATTATTGGTTAGACACAGTTAGTGGTTCAAACTCCCTATACTGGCAAGTTTTAGTTCGACCAACTTACTATTACTCTACAGCATGCACCTACAGATATAGACACACACAACTACATAGATGAACAAAAATATTAAACCTTCCCAGGATTCATAGAGCAACAAAGAACTGTGATTTGTCTCACCGTTATGAATGGAGAAGCTGAGGGGTCCTGGTACTGAGTCAGTAAAGACTCTACAGGTAAATGTACCTTAGGGCGACTCTTCAACCTTTTGTTCACATGAACCAACAATTCCATCACCTAAAAGACAAAAAAAAAAAAATGTAGAAACCCATCAATAAAAAGTAAAACAGAAAATACTGTAATTATTTATAGTATACAATAATACATTATTGCAATCGGGTCAGCGATTCTTGTCTGTCATTGATACCATGTATTCTCCAGTACCTATCAATTAGTGGAATAAAAATTTTGTGTATATTTGGGGGGGGGGTCAATAAGTTAATACTGCTAGCACCATCTAGTTTAATACATAAATTGAAGAGGTGAGAATGAAATTTAAAAACCAAGTTGCATGGGTTATAATAAAGTGAAATAGTTTGTTAGAAAAAAATTGCAAAAAAATGCAAGTTGATCCACTTCTACTGGGGTTTATATGGTATAGGAAGATAACTCAGTATTGTTTCATATTACCTGGAAAGAAAATGGGCATTGCCAAATAAGCTTCACCATATTATCTTGTAAATGTTATAAAGGAGTCAGCCGAGCACTTCAGTGATCTTCTAAATGATAGTACCAACCAACCAAACATAATCCATTGTAGTTATTGATATACAGATATATGTAATTGAAATAAGTTCAAGCAAAATAATTTACATTCCCTTTTTTAAACTGTTTCCTTCTTAATGATTCTCATCCTGTTTTCCCTGTTCGTAAAGTAAGGCAAAAAATAGAGAAGTTATAATCAGTTTATTTTTTTGAACAAGAACAGTTTATTTTCTGAGAAAATTTGCCAAATAAGGTGAGAAGTGGTTAAATTGTGAATCTTGTATTTTATTTTAAACTGTCTGCTATACATAATGAAAATATTAAAGAAAGGACACCATTAATACAGTACAGACATTGTATTTTCTATTGTATTTATGTCAGTAATGAATTAATTCACCAAAACAAGGATGCTGACATTGCTCAAAAGCCAACCATTTATACATCATGGTCCTCAGTCAAACACAGCAGCAGTGAAAATAGTCTTCATTCAACTATCCAATAACTTTCTTTTAAAATTTATTATTAGTAGACATAATCTGAACAACATAAGATACATAGATAACACTGTGTTGATGGCAGACTCAGAAAGGGAACTGTAACAACTGTTAGACAATGAAATGATAGGAAGCAAGAAGGGACTAACTATTAATTATAAGGAAAAAATGTATTGTCAGTTAAAAGAGACAAATGCAGAAATTTTACCATCAGGGTGGTGTAAATGACAAAAATATGACATAGAAATCTGAAGGTGTATAGGAATAGCAAAAAATGTATTCTATAAACTAAGTAACGTATTAAAACAGAGGAAAATATTGTTAGAGATAAAGAGTTGGTCAGTTTGGTAATTTATGTTTTGGTATCAGTTTGTGGTTTTTATTCCGTGATACTGCGGTTTTCAATTCGGTTTTTCAGTTTTTAATTTAGCATTTTTGCTTTCTAAGGAAGCCATTCATTTTCTTGTGTAATGATAGCATTTCCAGTCAATATCTGATTTCATTTGAGATTGATAAACTTGCAACTTAGTTCATTCAACTTGCAGTATCTCATGTATTTTTGGTCCGATATTAAAAATATTCATATGGCTGGAAAGGAAATAAAATAATCTTTCTAAATATGTAAATTGTATGTGCTTTTATTCATTGAATTATTTTTTTACAGCAAATTAAAAATTGTATTTTGCTTTGAACAACCAAAAATGCGAAATATGATTTTTTTTTCCAAGAGTAAATTTTTTTTACATGTTACTTTGTTTTGCAAAGTCAAAGTGACCAATCTTTATCAATATTCTTGAAATTGTATACTCAATTAGAAGACACCTTAAACTACAACCAGGAAGATGATCGTTTCTTCTGACCCGTGGAAGAAAATTCCTTCAAAAATTATAAAGTAAGCAGCAAGAAAAAGATTATTAACTGATAGTATGTGTGGTAAAAGAACTTTCAAATTATTGAAATTTACTGTCTTGTTGCATAAAATAAATGCCCCATATACTTTTTGACTTTCGAGTGTTGTTTTTTGAAATGTCTGTTATTGTGGAAGTCTGTTAACTGGTGTGTAAGAGGTCAATATTTGGTTTTAAGCAAGGGTAATAAAAATTTATAGACATGCGTTAAAGACCACTGGAATTGAAAACCTGAAAACTGCAAATTGGGGTGGGTAATAAAGTAGGAATTGTTCACAGTTCACCTAAAGTCAGTTTTTAGGCATTAAAGGTAATTTAGTCATAGAATTCATGACTTAGATTAAAGTTTAGTAAACTTTTGGATTAATTGTCAACTTTAGTAAATAACTACCATATTTATTAACAAATTGGTAAAATACGAAAGAAATCGCATAAAATATCTATATTTGTTGTCTTTGGACAACATATTTTTGAGAGAAAATGGTATAGCTCTCCAGAAATTAGTTTATGATGTAGCTTTTAAAAAGACCTAAAATGAAACCCCTCATGTTTAAAATAATTAAAAATATGGCAATTCTTTTCTAGTACGCTAGTCAACTGGAAAATCAAGGAGTTATTTTTCCCCTAAATAAATTTTTATTCGTTATTTTGTTGATGAATTAATTTTACCACAAAAAGTTATTTTTTTTGAAAACTGAAACAAATAGGTTTCAGACTTCATATTCCATTTCCTTCTTCCTTTCTTTTGTAAACAAATAGATTTCACATTTATTTCCTAAAACTAGTCAACTAAATGTTTTTAGCATATTTTTGTTAAATCTTTTTCTCTTACAATGGTATAAGTGTTGATAAAATTTAATTTTATTTGAAAGTCTTTTTCAATAGTGTTTCTTTGGATATGGTCACTCAGTAGTAACAGCACTTAAAAAACCAAGTGATTTTGGTTTTGTAAAAAAACTTTGATGCGTTTTCATGGTGTGAAGAAGAAACCAATAAAAGTCAGTTTTTCAGTTAAACCACCCATCTCTACTAAACTCCCTGATATAACACTAATGAAATTTTCCTCTTAAAGATAAAAAAAATAGAAACCCATAGCTAACACTACAATTCTCTTTGAATTATGAAAATCCAAATAATGATTACATAACACAATTGATGACATCCAAATAAGAGAAAAAATCTAACAAAATTCTTCATTGATAAAATACAAAAAGATTCAATGATATTTATGCACAAGATTACAAAAATAATCATCAACACAGAAATAAACTAGAAAACCAATCTGCTAAACAAATCCGCAAATTTAGAGTAGTATGAGTAAAACAATTTTGTAGGTATTTAAAAAAATCTGTAATTACAAAACCCACCACCCAGAGCAACATTTAAATTACTCTATTCAGCCATTATGCCCAAGGTTAGAGATTTAGTGAGAAGAAAAAGAAAACTTCTTGTTCAGAATCAATAAAGCGTCTTTGCTTAATACATTGCCAAAAGTACATCTCCAAAGCAGCAGAGAAAGATCAATATCTTTATCAATGGTCACTTTCTGTGCAGAAGCCAGTTTATCACTAACTCTGACCTTCTACTGTAAATATGGCTACTGCTGACCAATAGACCAAGCCTAAACAATCAACAACCAATAATCTAGAGATTTTCTTTAGGAATTATCTTTACTTCTTGGCAACATGTGGTGATCATTTGACCATTTTTTGATTACTGACATTATTAAAAACCAGTGATCATAATCAAAGCAGATAACTAATGAAGTTTCTTGAATTTATTAAGGCATCATCTATCATTTCCAACATATATCAGTTCACTTCATAACTAACTTTTTATAATATTACCACCACCATGACCATTACTACTACTACTACTACTACTGCTACTCTGGTTATTCCAGTCAGTTGCCTTAACAATCTAGGACATTCCATAATTTTCCCCTAAATCTTAACTTTTTGTAATATGATTCAATTTTCATAATTGAAGTACAGTTTGACCTCTTTAATCTGGAACTCTGTGGTCTGGCACTTTTTGAATCAAACCAGCATTAGTTTGTTGAGTGGCTACAAGGGCAGCATCATATGATTACAACTTTTTGCAGCAGAGTGTTTTCGTGATATATTCTTAGTCATTTTTTATATATAGGTACATACACAATAGTAAGTATATATTATTTTCGTTTTTTTTTTTTTTAACCTTTGTATTGCACGAAACAATAAAAACCTTGTTTGGAAGCATTAATGAATGTTTTATTAGCTGTCTTAAGATTTGTTCTACCTTTGATAATGCAACAATATATAGGCGGAATGAGATGGTAAGACTATGTTTACATAGGGCTTTCTTCTTAGGAATGATTTCTGTCATTTGGCATTTTCTGTGGTCCAACAATGGCCTGGTTCCAAGGGTACCAGATTAAAGAAGTTAAACTGTACTACCAATTCTTTTTATTTTTTATTACTATTTCTTTATTTACCCTGTTTATATTCAGACTATTGTCCTCATCACAGGCAAAAATTATTGAATCAGAATAGACACAATGTGATACACCAATGAGGACAAAATAATACTATTTATTTCATTTTAATTTCAGATGCTTTTTATCAGAATTATTCCATAACTGTGAGTGAACAACATGGATCAAAAATAAAGTTTCCAATGAGATTCAAACTAACATCCCTGTTCTTGAGAGCCTGTCTTTTTTGTGTCAACTGCTTTACTGATTGATTAGGCTATGAAGGTCCACAGACAGCGGTCATTCAAATCTAACCATATAACTTTATTCTTTATTTTCATTGTCTGTTTATATGCTATTATTATTAGCTTTGTATACATACACAACTGGTAGTAGACAATAGTAATTAGGTGAAGCATTGTCAATTTTTGAATATCTTTTCATTTTAATTTTAGTTGCTGATTTTCAAATGGGGAACAGAGAGGGGTAATTTTTCGTTCTTTACTATGTTCTTTGATAAATTACATTAATGTTTTTTTAATTTCTTTTTAATACTTTTGTATATCACTGATGTTCTTAATTTTCTCAGCTGTCTTTGATTTCCTTGTTATAAAATACTGTTCAAAGCATTAAATTAACATTTTAACTTCATTTTAAAGCATTCACAATTACGTA